TTCTCGGACTGGGACCTTTTCATATACGTTCTTGGCAGATGATCCATAAGTGGTTTGCCATTGCCTTCTTCTGTGTGTGAATGGGGTAATTGTTGGGATGCCACGGAGGAAAACTCCGTGTTGCCTAGACCACGGCCTTGCCCAACACAAGTTATAAATTCGGGCACCGCCGGGAATCGAACCCGAGACCCCATCATCTCACGGCTTTTTCTAGGCTGTGCCGCGGAAATAACATTGCGCATGCGTAATTTATAGAGACGTTAACTGCTTCGACATTGGACCACTCAATGTCGGAAGTTACAGCATTCAAATGTTCTAATTACAGGAATGAATTACTCGTGTTTATTTGATCTGGTATGTCGTCAATTAGTATAGCTCGATCTATTTTCATTTTGGAATGATATATCGGGTCTTTGTTTTTACTGTCGCAAAGGTCAATTACAGAATAAGGTCAACGAAATAAATCAGTAAGACAAAATATAACAAAAGGAAGAACATGATTATGAAACAGCGCAGATTAAAACTTAGAAAACTATCGGTAAATAAAAGACGAGAGTATAAGTTTAAAATACGGAATGTCCCAAAAAGATGTAAACGCATTTTATTCAAGAATCCATTGTTCCCGCCGTTAGCCACATGTGTGTGTGTGTGCAGATGAGGTCACTTGGTATCAATTCGACGGGGCACCCCAAAGTTACCATCGAGATGTCATCACCTATCTTGTTAACACTTTACCTTACCCATAGACAGGACACAGGGGATCTGTCGAGTGCCCCCCCCCCCCCCCCCGCAAGACCTCCGGAAAAGAATTAAAAGATGTCGCTCTTTAAACCCTGCACTAGATTTGATAATTTACACTAAGTGCCAATGCTGACGTACGTAATGGTTCAGTTTATTAAAATGTATTTCATTCAATGTGTGTCGATTTTTTGGGAATTTTCTAACTTTTCTGGGTCACTTCAACCACCATCAGAAACAAACCAAATTACTCCTTGTAGCGAAGTTCTTATGGAGGACCTCAAAGTCGCCGACGTAGTCAACAAATTATACACGTCTTATGCAGTCCGACTGGTACTTACCAATGGACCCAGTTCATCACCAGATTATCCTCCTCTAAATATGACTGTCTTCTGGTTTGTTGCATCGTGTGATCTGATAATAATCGTCTTGATGAAGGTAGCAGCAAGAATCTCTAAAACTTCTTTAAACGTCTACCAGACTACACGGTGCTGCAAGCCAGATGATAATCGTCGTCTTGAGAACGTAAACTCTCACTAACCTAGTTTAAATCATCAAACTACATTCATTTAAGGTCTACTTTAATATTATCATTCCTTCCACACCTATGGATATTAAGTAGTTTCTTATCCCATCATCCATTCCACATGCCTAGCCCATCTCGTTTTCCTTGAACTGATCAACTTAGTAATATTTGCATAAGAGCAGTTAGAACTTTGCAAGTGTTTTTCTACTGCATTTCTGCACTACACAATTGAAATACGATTCGTAACGCGCCCTTAACAAGACAACAGAGAGTCTCCTTCGTGTTCTTAATTCATACTTCCTGCGACCACAGCGCCGCCATCAAGGCTCACTGTTAACAGCCGCAGTGATAACACGCTGTAGGTTACGGAACCTATCGCAATGTATTCATCCGCCAACGTCCTCTTTGTTCACAGAATGAAGCATTTCTTCGGCTGGCCGGATTTATTCATCAGGCACATGAGCCACTGTTGTCGAGAGAAATCTCTGCGTTCGACGTCCGTGTGAAATACAAGGGTACCAGAGGGGTTTAGAGGGGTAGCAGACAAGGAAATATATAGTTCCCACACCATGAACATTCCCTTGATTCTATGTCAGTAATATCTTTCTGTATGAGTTTCTTTGTTTTTGCCCTCAAACTAGACGCCAGATCTCCAAAGCTGCCCTTTGAAAGCAAACCTAACCTAACCAAACCTAACCTAACCTAACTTAAACTAATCTAACCAAACCTATCCTAACCTAACCTAACCTAATTTATGTTTTTTTGTAAGTCATCAGTATAATTCATGAAACAATAATGAATCTATCTTTTTTTAAATTTAAAATCGTTTCTCTGTGGACCATTAAATCAGAATAACGATAAACAATAAGTAACGGAAAAACAAAAGAAAGACTGGTTCTAGCCTCAACAATGCAGAACAGATAATACAGTGATAATGTGAATGATAATAGTGACTTAATACTTTCTTCTCTTTAGTGTGCTTTAAGGACAATGTAGTTAAATAATACAATAAGTGCACAAATTTAATTAGTAGGTCTACTTCATCGTTTACATTCGCTTAGACGCCAGTCCCGTACCATTCCGGCTGGTCGCTGAAGGAACTTGACGAACTGACCGAGGAATGTCCTACACCTCTGTTACGCATCCGGAGGACTCAGAAAAGTCGCCAATTCAGTTTCCGTCCTTATAACCCGTTTGCTCACAGTCAGCGTTCTTTTCAAATGAAACTGGTCTTACCACTGTCACTTTGCACTCACTTATTTTTTAAGCTACGTAATGAGACGTACACATTAAAATATTTTACCTGGTCACCACAGGCCCTCAGACGTTTTAGGATAAAATTATTTAAATGATTACTTATGCAGAATATAAGACGTGATCTGTCAATCTGATGGCAACAATTTCTTTTCAGTCAAGTATCACACCTGGCATCTGATCGCCGTAAATAGAAATTTCATTTCTATAACGAAAAAAGGTTAAAATTTGTTTTTGAAAGGGAACAACACATATTATTCATATTTTAATCTTTCTTTGCATAAAACTAGAAAGCATAATAGAAAGAAATCACGTCTGTCCGTCATTATGCTTCATCTCACAAATCACGTGATGGACGTTCTTGAATGATCGAGAATATGTAGCAGAGGAGAGCAGACTTTGAGCACGTAGCAGGGCGGAGTTTATAAAATGTAAATTTTCTCAGATAAGATAAGAATAAACGAATGGAAGGTGCTTAAATTCCGTGGCACGTAACACAAATATAAAATATAAAAAAGATGTATGTACAATTTATAATTAGAAGGAATGACAGCCATTTTGAGGCGAAAATATGATAAATCTAATAAAAAAAACTATTGTCGGACGGTGTGGATTGGACTCAGCAGGCTGAGAACGAGGTTCAGTGGCAGACTGTGTTCAACATTGAGTTCTCGTACATTCTTCCTCATAAATGACGAGCAGTTAATTGGTTAGTGGAGTGACTCTCGGTTTCACAAGATGACTGCTGCTACATGCAGTTAATATACGCATGTTAAGGCCAAGGGAAAATGTAAATTATAGATTTCAAAACATTATTTGCTGAGTTAACCCGTGGAAAATGCAAGAATCGATATCGGCGTTCAATCACGAACTCGAAACCACTAATCGACAAGTTATGAGCCAAGGAATTTGGTTCTAAAAATTCAACAAAGTATACGCGAATCTCGAATCATGTATTTATCTGGCGAATACAGTTTCCGATGTGTAGGCTTATATTGGAATAAATAATGGATTACAAGTGTACAGATGGACGTGTTAATTAATTAGTTGCAATTTCGTCAGCATCCCCTAACAAGCGCTGACACGTGGAGCGTTGCAGTAAATTGTAACTAATTCGCAATTGCAATGGGAGTGACAAGCGAATAATTAATTTCCGTATTTTCATAATTAGGCGTTCGTCCATTCTCAGCTACGAAGTTGTATTTCTGAAAACCGGGGTAAAAGTTTTCCTGACTTGCTTTCCTATTTCCATGCATCGGTCCCTCGACGCAGTGACTGTTCATTACATGAACTTAAATGAGGAGAAATTATATAAACAAGCGAGGGCGTAGGCGAAGACCAACTAATGCAACGTTTTCTTAAGGACACAGACATACGAGGTGCGATCGGAAAGTTTCTAGACTGCGCCTATAAAAACCCGTACACTTATCTCAGGTATTAAATTCATCCATCACCCTCGAAGTAGTTCCCCTGGGAGTGAACACAACGATCCCAGCGCCGCTGCCAAGCCTGGAAGCATCCCTGGAAATCTTTCTTTGTCAGCCTGTCAAGCACCATCTGCGATTATGCCTGAATCTCTTCTATCGTCTCAAATCTAATTCCCTTTAGCTGAAATTTCATCTTTGGGAAGAGGAAGAAGTCACACGGAGCTTAGAAAGGAAGTTGGGGTCAGTTCTTGCAAGATCTTTGAGCTCCTGACAAACGAGAAGTCGATTCTGCTTCTAGTCCTCTGACAGGATGCGTCGCATGTGGAGTTCTTCCTTTAGAATCAGCTGACAGGTCCCATAGCCTATCCCAAAAATGTCGCACAAGTCGTTGATGGTACGACGTCGATCTTCGTAACAGTTTCGGGCGTTGTGCTCGAAGATGGTCGTCCAGAACGCTCGGCATCATCGACAGAGGTTCGGCCATTTTTAAAACGTGAATGCCACACAAAAGTTTGTGCACGACCCATTTCGGACTCCTCAAATGCTTGCTTTAGCATTTCATAGGTTTCCGTAGCCGTTTTGGCGAGTCTTTGGCAAAATTTGATGCACACGCCATTCCGAAATCGCAGGAGGGTCGGTGTAATGCACTACCAAAACGCCCGTAACTAAGAAACAAATGCTAATTCGATGATGCCGGCTGGCACACTGATTCACTATGAATGTAGGCCGCATCCCTTAGCGGCAGAAGCTCGTACTACATCCGGTTCGCCCTCTATTGACACAGTCTGGAAACATTCCGATCGCACCTCCTATTTCATGTGTGTGTATATTCGCCCTTCAAGTTTTGAAACGAAACGGAAGATTTTTACGAAACCTCGTAGAAACTTTAAGCCGTTGTAGGTCATTCAGATTTCCGTACCGCTGAACTTCCTACCCCATCACAGCCATTAGGATCAGGATGAACGCAGGCTACAACAAGAGATAAAAGTCCTCTCTCGGTTCCAGCGGCTGGACCATATTTAATTCCAGAAGCGCCGGGCTTCGTTCATTGCTGACACCTCACCGGTACAAACGACACTTTGCTGTCTGTCCGTCCGGGATTAAGACCACACGAAAGAACTCGAGAACCGTTGGACGGATTTGGATGAAATTTGGTATGTACTTCATGCCATTGATGTCTACCGTGAAATTGTACTTTTTTCTTTTATAGAAACGGCGATACCATCATGGCGGACGAACGAACTTGTGAAGTGGGATCTACACTAGCGCCACTTGATACAGGATCGTACAATGATTTATTGTGATCTTTGATAGGCACGCAACTTTGGTATAGTAATCATCTGTACACTGTAAAATGACAAGAGGCAGTGCCTGGAACAAAGAAAATAATCAGAATTTAATATCATAACCACCTGAGTATAATTCTAGAATGCACTAAACTCGTACTGCCTTAAATTTGTGTTGATTTGGAGTACCTGAAGAAGACAAAAACGAAAATACGCCCTCTTTGAAAAATATTTTTTCTTTAAGATTTATATATCAAGAAATTTCTATAAAAATCGGAGGGTATTAATTGCATTTATTAATCAGTCTGTAACACAAAGTCAGTGCCTTTTAAATTTATTCTGTTCTGTCAAAGACGGGTTTCCGACTAACAGCTGAATCAGTTAAAACCAATTTTCATGTACGTACTTTTGTAAAAAAAACTGTGGAAAGTAAATTACCTCCTTAGCAGATAAGAAAATTACCGGGTAAGAGTTAATTAATAAATCCTACTTTGAAGAAATTCATTTCGCCTGCGGCCCGTTGCTAAGCTGATGTGGGCGTTACCATGGTAACGCCTGCGCAGTTACGTATGTATCAGCTGGAAGCATTCAGAATTCAGAAGTATGAAAGAACACACGTAGAAAATTAGTAGTCTCATACAAATGTTATGTTTTCTGTCTTGTTAACATTGGTGAGAAGTAAAAATTTTATCTCGAAAGAATATGTTTAATTTATTTTATAATAAAACACATGTTTTCAACGCGGTCTGGAGTCAGTAATGACCTCTTTTATTTTCTTAACTTTTATTCTAATCGTCTGGTGAAAAACTGGAATTCTTTTTTTATGTAGACTAACCTGTTGTGATAAGATAACTGTTGAAAATGCATCGTGTTGAAAGTGGTCATGCAATTATGCACGTAACATAAACTTAATTTCAGCAGCCGTGTTTCTGTTTATCCTAGTAAGATAAAAACCCATTTAGGCTAAACTTATCGCTAGAGTTTATCGAGAATATTTTTTTAAAAAAAAATACTTATGCTCCTCTGTAAAGCGGTCGTTAAAATTTGACAATGGAAAATTTATGTCACTGTACAGTTTTTCGTAAAATTTGCAGAACACCAAATTTTATCATATTTGTTCTAGAGATATTTGGTGGTTTAGTGACAGACGAACTGAAGGCCGGAGTGATTTTAACTGGGCTCTTCGGAATTACGAACTTACAAAAAAAAATGCGTCTTGGCTTCGAAGCCTGATACGTCGGAATAATCGATTTCATTTATTTGATGTGTTACTCTCATGTTAAATGTTTTAACCCGAATCGAAGTGTGGGGAATCCTGGCGTCTTGAACAGAGACGTACGCAAGTCTTCAGCAATTTGAAAGCCTTCTGTTGTGATGGTTTAGTGTAAACTGTTGGCAACACTGGTCTCCCTCGTCCTTACTGGTGAAGACGTATCGTGACTCCAGAATGAATTGCTTTCTTGCTTACACTGTCAGCGACAGGACTAGTGCATATATGAACAGGGAAGGAATTGAAATCAAACGGGCTTGCTGTGTTAAATCGTTCTGACAAAAGTCACAAAAATCCATAACTAGAATAGTCGAAATTTGAACAAGATTATCCCAAAAAACCAAGCAGGATTATCAACTACTGGATCACAAAATTCGTTTCGTGACAAGGGTATTGATGATTACTAGGCTATCTGTCTCGAAAATATCGATTGAAGGAAAATAAAATTATCGATTTTTGATCAGCGTGCAATAGCACGAGGTCAGTAGGAAA